TACTAAGGAAACAAATGCACTTCTGAGTCCTTATTCACAACCCTGAGTAAGTCTGTGTTGCTTTTTCGGATGCAGCATCCTGGCAGGTTTCGTGGCACGTGTGGATGTGGGTGGGATCGTTGTTTTTTGGTTTGGGTTTTCCTTTTTTTCCTTTTTTTTCCTTTTTTTTTTTTTTTTTTTTAATTTTAGAGATCCTGTTTATGCTGCAGGTCTGAAGCATTCGAGAATGTTGCACTGTTGTTTTTTTTTTTCTGGTTTTTTTTGTTGTTGTTGTTTTTCCTTGGGAATTACTGTAACAGTATCAAAAAACAATGTTTTCCTCCATATCATGAGTCTGTTCAAAGCCAAAGACGGGGATGCAGAGACCGGGAACGGGCTGGAATTTCAGGAACCACCGTCCCCCCCGAGCTCCTCTCCCACTGCAGCCGGGCCCCCATGGGGAGCAGGAGGCTGGGGCCGCCCGGGGGGTGTCCCAGTGTAATCCCCCCGGGATGGGAGCAGGGATAAGAGCATCCCTGTCTCCCACGGAGCCCGTGATGGGACTGAGCGAGCCCTGAGTGTCAGAGAGAAAAGGGCATTTCTGTAACCAAAATTACGTCTTTTTTTTTGTCTTTTTTTTTTTTTTTTTTAATAATTTCTAAATGAAGGTGGCTCCTGCCAGGGAGGAGTGTCAGGTGGAGGTTGTGGAGCAGGCGCCGGAGCCGACCATTCCCGGGAGAGCTCCCGGGGGACACTCCCGGCCCCCACGGGCAGGATCCCCTCGCACTGTTTCTTTCTTTTTACCAAAGCCAAACTCTTAAAACCAAATATGAAGTTTCAGTCTTGGCCTTTGGGTGATAAGCACATTTTCTTGGCGTTTCCCGGAGGAGTTTGTCCCACAGTGGGGAGCAGGGCTGGGGCCCTCCCGGTGCTCCTGCTCCCCGTCCCGCACTTCGCTCAGCAAAGCACTCAACAAATTTGCCCTTGGTGAGATCTTGCAGCCAGGGCCAGGCACTTCTGAGGGGCAGAGCTGTGCCTGCTCCAGGGGAATCTTCCTTTTGGATCCCCTCCTTTTAGGACAGTATCCCCAGTGTGTCCCCTCCTCACTCCCCTCGAGCTTGAAAGGAAGTGTTGACCTTTCTGCACCGGATACCTCAGTTTGGAACCAGAATGAACTCGTGAAACTTGAATCAAAAGGTCCTTTTGGAAGATCCTTTTCAGTATTCTACGGAGGAGAACTGGAAACAGAGACTTGTTTACATTGCTGGCGAATCCGCACTCGCCTCTTGCAGCTCTTTCCCTTTCTGGGAGGAATTTAAGCATCACTTTATCTCCTGGCTGCTTCCCTCCCCCTTCCCGCGGGGCAGGAAAGTGGGGCCAAAGTCCTGAGCCGTTGCCTTCAAGGGCTAAAGTGCTTTTCCAGGCACATGGAGGGGCCGAGGCGCTCCCGGGCGATTCCCGGGGTCAGAGGTGGGCTGGAGCGGGGCTGTGGTGCTCCATCTCCGTGGAATCCATCCCTGCCCCGTGGGAGCCGGGGCCGTGCCCCTCGTGCCGTGGCCCTCGGTGTGGCCTCATGGCTGTCGGGAGACGGGATCCGGCACCATTTCACTTGAACGTGGCTTTTCCCACCGTTCTGTAGAGCACACGGAAAATGCTGCTTTTCCTTCACTCCCCACCCCCTCCCCCCCCTGTTTTTTTGGAGTATTATCGTGGTTTTCAGTTCCTTTGCTTAGAGGAGAAAGCTGATCCTTCTCTTGGCCTTGTTTCTGTGCTCCAGCGTGTCCCCTCCGCTCAGCGACGCCGAGACAATCAATGTGATCTCCGTAAGGGCTTCTCCATCCTTTGCCACGCCACGCTTTGTGTCCTCCCCTCTTAGCCAGGAGCTTTTTCTCCCCTCCCCCTGTGTCTTCTTAAAGATAGTAATAATAATAATAATAATAATAATAATAACGAGAATGGAGGGAAACGAGGTTCCAGCGGCGCATCCGTGGTCTGGGAGCAGAGGGGAGGGAATGGGGTGAGAAGGGGACGTTGTGGCCTTGGGGGTCCCAGTCTTGTTCTCCTTTAACGCTGTATCGTATCGTTGACAGCACAGCTTGACAATTTAAGTAATAATCAAAGTGTTTGGTAATAATGCATTATTTTGCTAAACGAGATTTGTGATGGTTTCCCTGGTGCATTGTAAAGAGGGATGGAGGGAAACTTCCGCTGCCCTGCCCGCTCCCCCCTTCCCAGCCCCTCGGGGGCTCCCAAATCTTCTTCCCTCGGACCTTTATGCCAAAGTTGGACCATTCCCGCTCCGTTCTGCCCCACCACGCAGCGAATTTTTCGGCTTTCCCCACCTCAATCTGATCAGTCTCTTGGTTTGGAACACGCAGGCACCGGATCTCCATCCCCTTCCCTGTCCCAGCCTCTGGAAAAAGGAAGTTTCTCTCCGCCCCCTTGGTCCAAAGCACTTGCTTCAAGTAATAAGCACTTTTGTTAAAGCATGAGTCTGGATTCCCTTTAGCATCCCACGGGATAGAGAGCAGCGCGAGGGATACGAGAGTGTCTTTGGCTTTATTTTTTCAGTTGGAATTTTAGAAAAAAAAAAAGTTCGTTTCTAGGGAATGAATGGACAAAGGGAAGTTGTGTTTTGAGAGAGAGAAAAAAAAAAAAACTAAAAAAAAACCTAAAAAAACAAACAAACAAAAAAAAAAAACCCAACAGCACAAGTACATTTCAAGTCCCCGGGTGTTTTTGCACTGCCATTGCCCGAGTGAGGGGCTCCGGCCCCCTGAGCCATAGACCCTCTGACAAACACTGAATGTACCGGGCTCGGCCGCGTTCCCGACGGAGCCACAGTCCCCGAGCGAGGAGGAGAGGCTGCCTGGTGTCTTTCTTGTCGCTGTTCCCCGGCTGCAGGCACTTGGAAACTTAGTTCTTTGGGGAAATGTGTCCCCTGTCCCGCTCCTGTCCCCTCTCCCATCCCTGTCCCATCCCTCTCCTGTCCCTTCCCTATTCCACTCCCGTCCTTCTC